GTTGTTGTTGTTGAAGTTGTTGTTGATGTAATTGTGGTTGATGTTGGTGTAGTTGATGTGGTTGTTGTTGGAGTTGTTGTTGATGTAATTGTGGTTGATGTTGATGCAGTTGTTGATCTTGTGGTTGTTGTTGGAGTTGTTGTTGATGCTGTGCTTGTGGTTGATGTTGGTGTAGTTGTTGATGTTGTTGTTGGAGTTGTTGGAGTTTTTGTTGGAGTTGTTGTTGATGTAATTGTGGTTGATGTTGTGGTTGTTGTTGGAGTTGTTGATATTATTGTGGTTGATGTTGGTGTAGCTGATGTTGTGGTTGTTGTAGGAGTTGTTGTTGATGTTATTGTGGTTGATGTTGGTGTAGTTGTTGATGTGGTTGTGCTTGTGGTGGTTGTTGATGTTATTGTGCTTGTGGTTGTTGTTGGAGTTGTTGTTGATGTATTTGTGGTTGATGTTGGTGTCGTTGTTGATGTTGTGGTTGTTGTTGGAGTTGTTGTTGATGTACTTGTGGTTGATGTTGGTGTAGCTGATGTTGTGTTTGTGGTGGTTGTTGATTTTGTTGTGCTTGTGGTTGTTGTTGGAGTTGTTGATGTATTTGTGGTTGATGTTGGTGTAGTTGTTGATGTTGTGGTTGTTGTTGTAGTTGTTGTTGATGTAATTGTGGTTAATGTTGGTGTAGTTATTGATGTTGTGGTTGTTGTTGGAGTTGTTGATGTTGTTGTGCTTGTGGTTGTTGTTGGAGTTGTTGATGTTATTGTGGTTGATGTTGGTGTAGTTGATGTTGTGGTTGTTGATGTAATTGTGGTTGATGTTGGAGTAGTTGTTGATGTTGTGGTTGTTGGAGTTGTTGATGTTGTTGTGGTTGATGTTGGTGTAGTTGTTGATGTGGCTGTTGTTGGAGTTGTTGATGTAATTGTGGTTGATGTTGGTGTAGTTGTTAATGTGGCTGTTGTTGGAGTTGTTGATGTTATTGTGGTTGATGTTGGTGTAGTTGTTGATGTTGTGGTTGTTGTTGAAGTTGTTGATGTAATTGTGGTTGATGTTGGTGTAGTTGATGTGACTGTTGTTGGAGTTGTTGTTGATGTAATTGTGGTTGTTGTTGTTGGAGTTGTTGGTGTTATTGTGGTTGATGTTGGAGTTGTTGTTGATGTGGCTGTTGTTGGAGTTGTTGATGTAATTGTGGTTGATGTTGGTGTAGTTGTTGATGTAGCTGTTGTTGGAGTTGTTGATGTAATTGTGGTTGATGTTGGTGTAGTTGTTGATGTGGTTGTTGTTGGAGTTGTTGATGTAATTGTGGTTGATGTTGGTGTAGTTGTTGATGTGGCTGTTGTTGGAGTTGTTGATGTTGTTGTGCTTGTGGTTGTTGTTGGAGTTGTTGATGTTATTGTGGTTGTTGTTCTTCTTGTTGTTGTATTTA